CTCCGGTGCAAGCGTCACAGCCATCTTTGCACTGATGTGGGCAGACTGTCTCACTATTGTCACTACGGCTTCTCTGCCCTTCATGCTTCCGGTCACTTACAAATGGGATTTCACCACTCCAAGAGGCTAACCCGAGGCAAGGCTGTTGTTGTTGTTGACTTGAGAGCACATAACAACAGCCTTGCCTCAGGTTAGCCGCTTGGAGTGGCGAAATCCCATTTGTAAGTGACCGGAAGCATGAAGGGCAGAGAAGCCAGTAAGACTCAGGTGTCTGGCCGTGTGTGCAGCCCGAGGAGCAGGAGCAGTTACTGTAGGCCTCATTCTCTCCATTTATTTCTTGGCGACCACAACGCCCCTTCAGCTCACCCAGTCCCCTCTCGGGCCATTACAACTAAAGAGACTCTAAGCCCCACCCTGCGTGCGACGGAACGTTGTGACGCACGCAAGAGGACGCCTGCGCACATGTGTTCGAGAGGCGGGGTCTAGCCCGCTCCTGTACGCAAACCGTAGGATGTCGCTTTAGTTTGGCGTGGCCCGCGCAGGAGGAGTTACAGTTTGCAGTCAAAATGTTGCGCGTGGTAAGTTGGAACATCAATGGGATACGGAGTCCCCTACAAGGGGTGGTATGTCAGGAGTCCAGCAACTCCGCCGCCATGACCTTGCGACGCCTTTTGGACAAGCTGGATGCCGACATCGTTTGTCTCCAGGAGACCAAAGTGACCAGTAAGCAGCCAGGAATCCACGTTCTACCATACTTTCCCATTTCAGCCAACTTTTGTCCCTGACCCATCCGTTTTTTGCTTTCTCGTCCCTGTCCTTAGTGTCCTCCTGCTAGACAACAGCCCAGAATCCTGATTCCCTCCTCCTTAAATCTCCATTCCCCACCCCAGTTCAGATCCTCTAATTCCCGCTTCATCTCGTGCCCTCAGCTCAGAACCCTAATTCCTTCCGCCTCACAATCCCATCCTTTCTTAGATTCTGTAATCCCCTTTCATTCTCCCAAATGAAAAACCCCCTGCCATCCAGTGGATTCCACTCATAGCAACCTCCATTAGGTTCCCAAGGCTGTAAATCTTTATGGAAGTAGATTGCCTAATCTTCCTCCGCGAAGCAGCTTGTGGGTTTGAACTGCCGACCTTCTGGTTAGCATCCAAATGCCTTACCCACTATGCCACCAGAGCTCCCTATTCTGCCATCCCCCTTCATTCACACTCCCTAATTTCCTGTTCGCTACCCTTCTAGTTCAGATCCCACTTCCCCTTATCTACCCACATATCTCCTCAACTCATCCCCAAATTATCACTTTGTCTCTCATCCCAAGCTTGTTGTTAGTTGCAGTAGGGTCCACTCCACTCTTGGCTACCTTATATGTGCATAGTGGAATTGCCCCATAGGGTTTTCAAGACTTTTGGAAGCAGATCACCAGGCCTGTCTTTTGAGGTACCTCTGGGTAGGTTCAAACTGCCAGTCTTTCCACTTGTAGTCAATTTCTGTAACTGTTTGCACCACCCAGAGACCTACGTTTAGACCCCCTAATTTCCTCTCCCTCCCATCCATCTCCCACCCCAGCCCAATTTCCTGATTCCTCCCCTCTCCCACACACACTCATAGTCCCTAGATGCTTCTCCCTCTGTCCCCAGTTCCAATCCCCCAATCCTCTCTTCCTTTCAAATTCTGAATTCTTTGGAAATCCAAGGAGGGGTCGCTATGAGTTGGATCCAACTCCACAGCAGTGAATTTGTTTGATTTTGGTTTTCCCTCTCCCATATTTCCATCTCCTGCTCCCAACTTCCTCCCATCACCTGGTTCTCCCCACCCTTAGCTCAGACTTTTTCCTCCTCCCACTTAATATTACGCCTTCTCCTCTCCTTTTTCTAATTTTGACATCAATTCTGTCTCTCACCTTTCTAACTCCTTCTCTAATCATAGACCTTTCATTTTCCCTTTCAGCTCTGAAGTATTCAAGTAATTAGCCTATATGTGTAATTTTAGACCTTTCTGTGTTCCTAGGTCCTAGTTCTAGCTCTAACTTAATCTTATTTCACTTTTTCCAGGAGATGTGCTGACTGAGCCCCTGGCTATCATTGAGGGCTATAACTCCTATTTCAGCTTCAGTCGCAACCGTAGTGGCTATTCTGGTAAACGGGGACTTTCTTTAAGTTATGGGTGGAGGCAGGTAGGAGGAAAGTTTCCAATATTTGATGAGAAGATAATACAAGGTTTAGGTTTTTAATCCACAACAGAGCTAAAGACACATAAAATGAAGTTGTATGAAATACAATTTTACACTACAGTTAGTGTAGTGGTTAATTGTATGATCTCTGGAGCCAAATTGCCATGTGTTGAATCCTGGCTCCATTCCTAGCTCTGTGCCTTCTGGCAAGTTACTTAACCTAGTTGTTCTTCACTTCCTCAGCAGGAAAATGCAGATATTGACTATTCCCTAGGCTTTTTACAAGGATTAAACAAATTAATCCATGTGATAATAATAGCTAACACCTGTTGAGCACTTGGGAACCCTGGTAGCATCGTGCCTAAGGCATTTGACTGCTAACCAGAAGGCTGGTGGTTCAAACCCACCAGCCACTCCT